AGTAACCATGTAAGGCTATCCCATTGAGGCTTCCTTGCCCATAAGAATCAGATCTTACTTAAAACCTCTACCAGAGTACCTCTTCTCGCAAAGGCAATGAGTTTGATTTTGTTGAATCTGTCCCTGTGACAGAACAACTTGGAGATGGAAATTTTGAGATTACTGAAAACCACTATTTCAAGATAAGGTTGCAGCATATGAATAACTTTTCTGGTGCCACCAGGGGACCTTAAAGCTAACCATGCTCAAGAATTTTCTATAGTTCTGATACATCATACCAACAAAAAAACCCGTGGACAATTTCAACCTTGTCGCCTTGAAATTATGTGTTAGTACCTTAAAAATGCTGCTTTTTAACCAGTAGGAAGAAAAACAGTTGTATAGGACCCAGAATAATATCAAAAAGTATATGAAAAGAGTGCAAAGGACAAAAAAGAGTCCCCTTTTAGTACACCGTCCCCTACCTCCCTCACTCCCTCCCTCCCCATATTGAATTTACCCAGCCAAACCCAAATCTCCTCCTCCACTAAACTTGCCATGACCCAACTTGTCCTTAGTAATCATAAATTGTTGGGAAAAAGCCACAAAAAATCCAAAAACTATGCCCACCGTGACACATACACCCTGAACTTTTTTTTGTGACACCAAAAACCCCAAACTATGCCTATTGTGACACATTTACCCTAAACTTCTTCTTGTGACGTAAAAAACCTCAAACTTGTACTTATGTGAAACATTTACCCTCCATCAAGGTTCCATCAGATGATTTTTCAACCAAAACATCGCTTTTATTTCACTTAAGCAACACGGGCGCCATGTCAACACCGTTTGCTATCTAGCGTCCATGTAAGCAGATTTTCAACGATTCTCATTGGCAGAATTTTGACGGAGGGTAGATGTGTCACATAGGTACAGATTTGGGATTTTTGGTGTTGTAGAAAAAAGTATAGGGTAAATGTGTCAAGGTGGGCATAGTTTAAGATATTTTGGTGGCTTTTGCCCTAAAGATTTTTACCAAATTTTCCACATGCAAGGATAGTGCAAAAGAAAGTGAGCAACAGTTTCCTCTTTCTTTATACACAAAAAACAAATGATTTGCCATAACTTTATCTGTCCTCTTAAAGTTGTCCAAAGTGAGAACACACCCCTCATACATTCCCAAACAAAGGGAGGAACTTTTGTTTGGATTTTTCTATTCCCCAAATTGCCTCCGAAGGAAAATTTCAATGTTGACAGGGTCAGCATCAATTTTGGACGACTTCGTTGATAAAATTTCACCAGAACACAACCACTTTGCTTCATATCTATCGGTTGACATTCTACCTTCAGCCACCATATACATATTGCTTGTCAACCAAATTAATTACAGAAGTTTCCATGACAATCTGCCATAAAGTCTTTTTTCCTCAGAAAACCAAGACATAATGAGTCAAGAAGTTGGTTGATTAGAGGCTAAACTTCACATCAAGCATTGAGCCAAAAACATGTCTCCTCCCAACAATTAGCTTGACCGTCATTCAAGTCCTTCCAAACATTGCTGGTTCATCTCCAAACTCCTCTTTCACGGGTCATCCTTGTGCCGTTTGAAATTCATCTAGGAAATCTGACTTAGTTGCTACCATCTTTTCACCATCAATGATTCTATTTAATTCAAAATGCCAAAGCCCAGCTAGGCTTTATTCAAAATTTCAAAAAAGAAAAGAAAAAAAGCAAAGACTTAATATTTAGAGTTTTAAAACTACTCTATCCTTGGGTTGTTTAATCGAATTGATGACCAGATAAAGCCTTCAGCTTTGTCCACTTTATCTGACAGAAATCTACTAATGTCCTGGCTACAAGAGAGTGCTTTAGGTTGATGTTAAGGTTCCTCCTTTTGGAAGGACAGATCTTTTCAAACCTGATGACTCTTCCTCGAACACAAATTGATGCTGACGATTTTTTTTAAAAGCCTTAATAGGTCCTTAAACTCATTGGACTACAATCTCATGTATGATCTAGAAAACATAGAACATCACCATGCCTATTACAGCAAGTACCCAATACCACCCTCTTCCAGCTTAAGGAATGAACTCAACAAAATCCCATTCTTGCACGTGCTAGAAGGTGATTTTCTTGTTTTCAATCAGAAAGGAAAAGAATTATTGAGGATCTAGAGGAAAGTTTGAACTGGTGTGAAATTTCTTTGTGAAACATACCAAGGTGAAATGTCATAAAACAAGTCAGTCAAACTGATGAAGATTAATTTGCAACGAAAATTTATTCTTGAAGAAGATAAGACAAGTATGTGTTCTCAAAGGAGGAAGACTGACCATTTATGTATCCACAACGGGCACACTTCCCTGGTTTACACTTGTTGACTGTTTTCTTTGCAAGCTCGGCCTTCTGTAAAGCATCCCTCTTCGGATGTCTTATCTTCTCCAACTCTTTTCTGCGTGATTCCTCCTCCAAAAGAATCCGCGAACATGACTGCAGAGGAAATGTTGCTGTTGCATGAAATCTGAAGGAAACAAATAAAACACAGAATACTACACCAGTTCATCGCATCAGTCTAACAGCAGGCAAGGACAAGGAAACCATCCCATCAGATGACACTTCTTTTTCACATTACCATATGCACATATTTATACACAACTTCTAAATAATTGTTCATACATATGGGCATGTATGCTACCTACTTCCCTAATACAATGCCAAATTTGACATACATAAGGTACGAATATCTCTGTTTAGAGAAAACTACGGAAGGCAACTGAAGGAGAAGAGGAAAAGAGAGCATGAAATGTCCGAGAATGGAATCCCCAATCAATCAAGTACCTTGCATATAGACTTCAAGATCTCCAGAATTTTGTCAAGAAATCCAACATTATAAACGGGTAGAGCAAGAGTCAAGTACCCATAATGCCCTGGACAATCCTTGAAATCTCCATGGCATGTATTGCACCTGCAACTCTTGTTTGCAGGACCCTGTAATCACAAGAGAAAACACTCCTCAACCTTTTCCATCACCCGAATAAAGTGAATACGCAATGACAACATACTTCTCATGTCATATCAATACCTTAATCCAAACTAAAAAAATCTACAAACTGTACATACCAACCCCCCCCCCCCCCCCCCCCCTCCAAAAAAACAAAGAGCAAGAGGTAAAGCACAAATTGACAAATAACACCAAATGAACGAATATTCATGCTGGAAATGTAAAGAATCATCGAAAAACATCTCTCCTCTCAAATTATCCGACAATCAGATCAGAGCCAAACAGTTAACATTAGCACTAGTTAGTATTCTACACAGTGAGAACTCATTGAGCCATCAAAATCACACAAAAGCACGCGGAAAGACGGCGATATCGTAGAGAGGACAAACAGCGATGGAGCTTAATACCATGCGTGGATCCAACAAGCCGCCCACCATTGGCTTCCGCTCCTGATCGTAGTAGACGCCTCTGTACACCTGAACTTCCGCAACTTTTCCGATCTCCGACGAAGAGAACATCGAAAACTGAATGCTCTTGCTGTAGATAGAAAAAAAAAAGTTACAAAAAAAATAAAAAAACCCCTGATTCGCACAGAAAGTCCGAGGTTGCTTACATCCTGCGAGGGCCGACATTCTCCACGTAAGGCTCCTTGGTGAATACGTGCGACGCCGCTTTCATCTCTGATCAACAACTGCAGAAGACGAACGAAAAATTCAGAGAAAAAAGAAGAAGAAGATGAGCATCGGAACTAGCTTCAAAAATCACGAAGCGAATGCGAAGACGATCGGTTCGCGCGGGGCGGGACGCGACCGGGCATTACGCGAGAAGCGAGGATCGACGGCGAGACGGCGATGAATCCGAGAAGCTTCGGAGACGGAAGGCGGGAGGGTTCGCGGGGGGCGCGTGCGGAAGGTGAAGATGGACCAGCAGAGAAGCGAGCTTGGGGGTTTAAGGAAAGCTTTTAGCGCTTTTTAGGTCACTGGCGGTGGCGGGAGGGTTTTTGACCCGGCCATGGGCCCCGCCCCGACCGGGACTCGCCCGGACCCGGTTCGGTCGCCGCCGTGGTTATGTATGCTCGGGTCTCGCGACGGCGGGTCTTTTTGTCTTTTGGCTTGTGCAAGTCAAAATGGAAATTGCCGATCTTCTTGAGAAGGGCGAATTACAATTTTTCCCTCAGATTTTGATATTAATTATAAATTCTCTCCTGACTTTTCAATTTTTGCATTGTCCATAAGTTCTTGAGATTAGTAACTTCGATTATTTTTTTTTTACTGGAGCTCCAACATGTACCTGTCGCGTGACTAATATGCTCTCTTATGGAGGGCAAATCTGTCCAATAAATTATGGTGAATTATGTTTTACCTCTCAAGTTTTGCACATGTTAAGTTGTTTCCTGACTTTTCAATCTCTTCTGATGTTCCCCTATCGAAGCGAGGGTCGTCTTGCCCTCGCTCGGTTCTTGTACGTGGTTGTTAGGGCTGAGATTTTTGGTCTATGTTATGCTTGGATTGACCGGACCGGTCTTTCATACTTTAGGTACTAAAAGCCTTAACGGCCTGGTTGGAGCCGAAATTATGTATAATAAACAAATGTACTGACAGTTGAACGAACTAATATGCGTTGTTACTCGTAAAACCGAAACAATATTAAAATCTACCAGGTATTTATAATGGTAAATTAGTTATTTTGTTCGTAAGTTATGGTAAGTAATTTAAGTACGCGCTCGCTTATAAAATCTAAAAACAAGTGATAATCCATTGTTGGGTTTGCGAATGTTAAAATTGTTATTTCATTGGTAACTTAATAATAATTGATCGGACTAATAAGTTACCCGATCACTTTTTTATTTACCAAGGATGTTTAAAACTTGACTATCACTTTACATTTGTATCACCTATGGAAAATAATTCCATTCAGGGAACTGAAGTTTGCTCTAGTGCAAGGCCAGCCCAGATTTGGCTTGAAAGCCTGGGATCTTTCACTCGCTCAGTAAAAGGAACCATTCGGTTTAGAGCTTCACATCTGTGGTTAAATGATGCATACACCATTCTCTGGATAAACAGTCAATTTACAAACTCACTATCTATTCTATGGCACATGATACAAGGACTATGTTCACTGTGTAATCTCGGATCGGCGACCATTGCCACCAGGAAACTGGTCGGCCAGCATCTCCGAATCAGGAATCTTTCCCACGCTGTAGCTTTTGCTGCATCTCGAACATAGATCATCTCTGGTTTCTGTGATCAAGCAGGGAAGCTCAGGAGCCGACCCGGTGTAAATACTCTGTGGGGACGAGTTTCTAGCTAGGAAAGACCATCGCGATGGATGCCAAAATTTTACAATGTTAGATCCCTACTCTAGAAGTTTTCCTTGTGAAAATGGAAACGGGTCGACGAGTCTAGGCTGAATTCTTGACAAAGCTTCTTTAATGGCTTAGTAAGCGTCGGACTTCCACAGTAGAAAACACCTGCAAGGGTCCCATTTCCACATTAGAGGCAAAAGCCAGAATGAGAACAATCTCATCACCTATGTGCATTTCGACATTTCTCTACGGCTGCAAATCAAAACCAGTACCTATTCGAGAAGAAGGATGAGCACTAGCCATTTGGGAGAACACCTTTCTCCAATTAGGCCTTGCAAAATGCGTTCTTATCTGTGTGCACGTATGTCAGAAAAGAGCTGGACATAAATTAGATGATCACAGGCATAATAAATTAATAACTAAAGGCATATACCCGGCTTTCTGAGACGACATCCACTCCATTCTTAGCGTGCTGCAGCTTCTGCACCATCGCGATAAGCGCCGACCGCGCATCTCCTTCTTCGTATACACTCGTCAAATAGTTGTGCATCTCTATAATATGCTGCTCAACTCATCAGACCAGTAAACGGTGAGAATGATGTAAACAGAAGAGGATGTGCTGTCATGAGAATGAGTGTGTAAACATAAGAGGGTGTGGTGGTCACAAAGCATGCTTTTCTTTGTTTCGGAACTTACATTATGGTCATACTCTGCGATATCATCCATCACACCTTTGAACCATTCAAACGAGCCCTGTTCCCTTGTCACCCAATAAAAGTATGCTCTTTCTGGTGCCTTCTTATTCGCACCTGGTATACTTTGTGCAGGATCCTGCATGGAGTCAACTCATCCTGTTTATTACTTGTCCTGTTAAACTTGTTGGTGTATTCAGTTAATAAACTTTTGGCTCACGTTTTCTTCATTCGGCTTGATCTGGTTGAGGAGGTCCTTCAAAATGCTGATAAACGGGGTTGCCCCGATCCCTAGACCGATGAGGAAAAGGATGTCATACTTTTTGTAGTTCTGAGCCGGGGCCCCATATGGTCCCTTAATGAGGATTTTCGGAAATCTGTAATATTAAAGAGAATTATGAGATTCAACATCGTCAAAGCCATGAGAGGAGATCACGGAAATTTCTCTCCACCTGACTTCTGTGTGATCATAATCCGAGACCGCCTTCGTTTGAAGTCTCACTAGACTTCCCCTTCCTGCTGGTTTGTTCGGTGGCTCACAAACCTGCAATTCTTCTGACTTAGCACTAAAAAGTGGAAACAAAAAGCCACAGGCATCTAAGATCAAGAAGCGAGCAAGAGTGCAAGATAGCGTCTAAACTTCTAGCGATAGCACCATAATCTGTTAACCTGCGCGAATCTGTTCTTTAGCTCCGTGGTCCAGTCTCCCAAGGTTCGTATGTGGACGCTCAAATAGTCATCTCCTGGCGCAGAAGTGATGGAGAAAGGATGCCTGTGACAAGTGAGAATTCAATCAGATCAATTTAAGAAAATGTGCAGCTAGGTATCAACAGACTTTGTTTAGTTTGTTGTTGAGGTAATGCAATGTTTTACCACTCAAAAGTTGAAATATCTGGACACTTGACAAACATATACATTCCGCTTTTGTACTTGAATCCTGGGGGTTTGCTTATGTACAATGCCAAAACATTTCCTGTGTATATGGTTGCCTGCAATTACCAATATATACAGTTTATAAGCATTTGTATATGTTCCTGGGACTTGGAGAATCTAATGCAGAAGAGCTGTAAAATTACTGACCTTGATAACATTAACACGATGGTTGCGTTCATCAATAGCTGTGAAAATCCTCTCGCTAACATAGAGTAATAAAGGACCAGAGAGATACATCCATGTCTGCACAGGAAGAAATTTAACAGTTCATGATTGCTTTCTTTCATTAGCACGAAACCAGGTGGAGCAATGTCATCTGACAAAGTTCTTTGACATTTTAAGCTAATCAAATTCGAGTTTGCAATGAATTGAGAATCATGTGTTAAGCATCGCATCAAATACAAACATTCTATTAAGCAGAAACTGTTCTGTTGTTGCAGTAAAATTATCTGACAGATTCTTTTTTTTTTTGGTCAAAATTATCTGACAGGCTCATGAACAAATAAAAGTATGATTAGCCAAGAAGTATAGAAAGGATGATTTAGTTCAAGTGCATAATCATACTTACGCTTTTTGAGTACCAGTGCCTACTCAGAAACAGGAAGTAGCCGTGCACTATCAGGAGAGCATAGACCAGGAACAGCAGATGGTGAGCGTACCAGAAGGCATTGAACCCGGCCAGATGGTGGAAGGGCCAAGGCAACTTGATGACATTCCTTCTAAATGAATGCGTGGCCAGCGTGAAAGAGAAAGCCATCAAAACGGTAATTATAATCCCGGTAACTCCCGGAATACTCTCAACTAGATCCAAGTAACTCGGCTGCTTGTAATCGAAATAAGGCCCCGCATACCTATAAAACTTTGGCTTAGGACACGAAATTAGTCTCAGGAAATCACAAGAAACGTGCATAATAGCATGTATCGCCGTCCCAATTACTATTGCCAGTGCTATCAGCTTGTGGAAATTAATATTGTCGTCGAAAGGAAACATCCTACTGAGGGCGGTTGATCTAAGTTTCGTGAGCGTCCCTCTACACACAGGGAAGAGAATAAGAGCCATGTTGAATTTGAGTGTCTCAGCCGCGCCCTTTGCAAAACAAACACAGTAACCCATGACTTGAAATATCTCTCTCTTCTTGTATTGATGGAACTTCCAGACAAAGAGGATCAAATTTGCGGTTAACCAAAGTGACACGACCCACACTCTCTTCCAGTTCTCCTGGAGAAATTCCATGGTTTTCGACAGAAATTTGCTGATCGGAGTCCTATATCGTCTCGGAATCATGGTCCTTGTGAGAGTGTGGGTTTTCTTGGCCAGCTTGTTGGCTTCTTCAGAGCTCACCATCTCTCTCAATAGAGTCTCGAGTTGCCACATCTGCTTAAGCTTGCGAAATTAGGAAGAGAGAGAGAGCGGACCCGATAGCTAAACACACAAATATGCACTTCACAAGGAATGGCTCTAGACTTCCACTCACTTCAATATACCCGAGATGGTCAGGGTCGAGCTCTTCCATGATCAGTGCGGCATAGGATGCGGCTTGCTGCTTGAGGTTTGACAGCTTGTTCGCTGAAGCGCTCAATATGATTACCTTACTCACCAGAATAATAAGGAAAAGATTATCCATTAGCGTTCAAACACGCAAGAAGAGGAGATTTTGGGAAGTTACTATCTCTCACCTCCTTCACCTCTTCCTCGGAGAGCTTACCATCGCCATTTTTGTCACACCTGAAACACTAGTGAAGTTAGTTTCCTGTGAACAAACACACACAGAGACAGAGAAAGCGCAGTTCTTTACATGTCAAAGAAGATTTGAAGCCGTGAATCTATGTCCCGGTTATTCATATCGTCCCAAAACACCCTCATTTCCTCCTGAGTAATCCCGTTCTCCGAGTATATCTTCCTGCGCCTCGCCAATGCATCAAACAGCTCCCCCGCAAATTCCTTGGATTCTCCCATTCCTGCAACACAGCATTTCGCCACCCATGAGCTCTTTTTCCCCGGATAAGTTAGATTTCAAGCAGGACCCCCTCTAGGGGTTTCCAAGTCAAAGCGTCGAATTACCAATGCAGGTCCCGAATTTGTCTTTTGAGATCCTCCCATCGACTGCGAATTGGTTGAAACGTTTCTCCACGGACTTCCAAGCGTCCACTTCCTTCCCTGTGACGGTCCTCTCCAGGAACCTCAAGCTCTTGAGCCCTCTCTTCGCGCCGGACTCGGCCCTTCTCATTCTAGATGCCGTGGACGCCATGCCCTGAAATTCGTTTCCCTTTCTCGTGCTGCTCAAGTTCCAGGTGAACAATGCCTCATCGCTCACCTTGGAAGTGGGACTGCTGTTACGAACACCACTCTTGCTGGAGCTGTCGAAGGGCGCATCAACCATGTCATCCACCTCGATGCCTTCCAGAATCCATTTCGAGGAGTTCCCCGTTTCCACTCTCTCCATGGAAGATCCAGGTGCTCGAAAGTGGGTCGTGTAAGATCTGAGAGTCCGAGAGAGAGAGAGAGAGAGAGAGAGATGGGATGAGATGAAATGAAAGGGTCAAGGACTCGAGATGTCCAGTTATTTTAGTCAGTTGTCTAAAAATAGGAACGAAACCGAGTGTGGGGAAGTTCCATTCTTGTTTTGACAACCCATGAAAGATTCATCGTTTCTAATGTAAATCCTTTTTCCTAAGTGTCGTGATCCCGAGTCGTGTGCACGTCGTCCTGCATAAGGTCGTGTCTGGTTCGTCCCAGAGTGCATTGAATTCGCCATTTCAAACCGGGGAACAAATGATAAAAGATTTCGAGAGGTTGGCGGGTTGGTTGTGCAGTCTCGCGTAATCTGGGGGAGAGGCACATCTCCGGATGGGAGGAGTTGACCTGACCCAGCGCGATCATCTCCTCGAGGAAGATGCTCTCTGCGAGAACTGTCAATCCCTGACCGGTCTTTTGCATGTCTGTCTGCCCTCCCTCCATCTCTGGTGGCGAGAATAATAGTTTTAGGGAATGTCTAACTAGGAGAGATACAGAGAATGCAAGTACTCGGTCCGTCGTTATCAATGGGTGATGCGGTGAACAGAGGTAATCATACTCATAAACAATGTGGTACACGAAATCAATTACAGTGTAGAATTCATATAAATTCATGAAATATGATCGGATCGGATTGGTTTAGTGAAATTATACTCTTTATGCAATACTCCCAATTTAGGGGTGTGCAAAACGGATTACCTGAACCGGAAACCACCTGGATTGGACTGAAGTGGCCAGTTGGGTTCGATTCCCGGTTCCCAAAAGTGGAATTGGTGTTTGGGCGGTCCAATTCCCGATTCCAAAGAAAAACCGGACCAACTAGGGCCCATTTGGTTCGGCTTTGGGAGAATGCCTTTGGCAAAATGCAAAAGCCTTTGGGCTAAAGAGGTTTTTCGAAATGCAAGCAGTGTTTGGTAAGTGTATTTTAAAATCACATTTGAAAGTAGCTTTGGCCTAAATACCATTTGGTAAAAATTATATTTTGTAAAGGACTTTTGCTAATATTTAAAAAAAAAACGTTTGAGGTGGAGCTCAGCCACCAGCCGTCGGAGGTCGCCGGCCAACCACCAAGTCTGGTCGCCGGCCAGCCACGCTTGGGTTGTGTAACCCAGGTGACACCTGAGGTCGGGCGACCTCAGGCGATGTCGCTTGGGTCGCCCAACCCAGGCAACGTTTGGCCAGTCACGCGACCTAGGCAATGCCTGAGGTCGCGCGACCCCAGGCGACGGTCTCCTGGGTCACGTGACCTCGGTGACCGCCGCCTGGGGTCGCGCGATCTCAGGCGGCGGTTGCCGAGGTCGCGCGACCCCCAATCGGTGGTCGTCGAAATTGCGCAACCCCTCAGGTGGCGGCCGTTGGACCTGTTGCTTGGAGAAGATGAAAAGTGCTACGATGAACAGTAATCTTAAATTCCAAAAGTTCAACTTGTCAAAGTATCTCTAAACTTGCCTTGGGCTAAAGGCCTTTAGGGTGCGTTTGGTTCAACTTTCAAAATGCTACTTGGGAGAATACAAATACCTTTAGGTTAAAGCCCTTTAGGAAAATGTAAGTGGCGTTTTGTAAAACATCATTTGTAAAGCTACTTTGGCCCAAGTAGTGTTTGGTAAAATTTTTTTGCAAAAGAGCTTTGGGAATTATTTTTTTTATTAAAAAACAAAAAACCCTACCCTACCCTTCGCCGGAGCCGGCGACCGACGAAGGCCTACGGCCGCTGGCGAGCTAGATCTCGCGGCCCGCGGCCAGTCGCCGGAGGTCGTCAGCGACCCCGTGCGAGCCAGGATCTACCGCCGCGGCCGTCGCCCGAGGCCCGGGTGACCCAGGCGGCCGACGGCCTCGCGCGACCCAGGCAGGCGGCGCCTGGGCGGTCGCGCGACCTCAGGCGGCCGTCGCTTGGGTCTTACGACCTCGCCGGCTCGATCCGGTGTCGGTCGCCCTTGCTAGCCTCCCTCGCCAGCCGCCTCACGAAGAAGATGAACAGTAACAAGAGGGGTGAAACCGGAATAAGCCAAAATAAGTTAGGGTAGTTTGAGGACAAAAAATTTGGGTTCAGCATTTGTGGAATGCCGAAAGCCGAAAGCTGATTTCCAAATGCTAGCATTTGGCCAATGCTAGGTCGAAAGTTGAACCAAACAGTTCAGCATTTTGGGAAGGAGCTTTCGAGGCCGAAAGCCCCTTCCCAAAACTGAACCAAACGCACCATTAAAGTCCTTTGGAAATGCAATTGCATTTCCCCAAAGTGCTCCAAAAAAATTGCCAAACGCCATTTACATTTGGCCAAGGGACTTTAGAGCCTCAATGCTCATTTCAAATGCTGAACCAAACGGGGTCTAGATCAACTACATATACATTTTTTATTTTTTTTATTTCTTCAAAAAAAATTAGTAAAATGTGAACATGATGGCAATATGCATTAGAGAAGAGCCGAACAAGCGTCCTCCCATCAACGAAGTCGTGCTCGCTCTCGATTACTTGGCGTCCCAGAAGTATCATCCCCACGCATCCCCCAAGGTCAGCACAAAGAAAGCGCACGAGGACAAATCTCCGAACGAAACGACAACGATGCTAGGCAAGGAGCTGGAGTGCGAGCAAGCCATCGTAGAGGCCAAAATGTGGGGGGAGAGCTGGAGAGATAAGGGACGGCAGACTTCTCTGAGCAACACCGATGGCTTGAGTAGGTGACGGCGGGATCGAGTCGAGTCGCTCTATGTTGGCCCCTCTTAGCATTGAGCACAGAGACTTTCGAAATTATTGGTTTCCGATTAATAGGCCCAAATGGTTAGGCATCGGCAGTGAGACATTGCAACATCATTTTGCAAACTCTTCACGTCTTGAGTGACAATTTCGCTCAATGTTAGGGAGTCAAGAGCGACCTTTATTCCTCCTCTCCGTATGGCCATGTGCATTCGTTAAAAAAAAAAAGTGACCAGTTCCGGTCCTAGGATCAATTGGTCCTCCCGGTCCAGTTATCGTTTCCATTTTGGAATCAATCACCCCTATTCCAATTCGATTCACACGGTTTCTAACTTTAGCAATGTGTTGGTAGTTTTTCATTCTTGAGGTAAAAGAAAAGGAGTAGATGGTCGTAAGGGTCTGATGAGTTTAGTTAAAGTTTAGATCTATTAGTTTGAATTATCGACCCATAAAAGTATTGTTGGCAAATGTCATAACTTTTAAGATATAAATTTCACGGGTAAGTACGGCGTGAGTGCCATAATTTTTGTACGGAGGATACTTAAGTGCCATAGCTTTTTTTTGGCTCACTTGAGTGCCATAACTTTCAAAAAAATGATCACCTAAGTGCCACTTACGAGCTGATTGTGAGGGTCCGAAACCGCGGCTTTTCCGGTCGAACGGTGACCTTCCCGGCGAGGCGAGCACCACCAGCTTGAAGAGGGGGTGTCGGTGAATCATTCCATGACCTCCGTACATCTCGAAATTTCCGTTTTAGCCTCCGTTGACGAAGGTAAAAATGCTTCGTAGTCACACAATTTATCGAGCCGATTTGTGTGACTATGAAGCATTTTTACCTTCGTCAATGGAGGTTAAAACGGAAATTTCGAGACGAACGGAGGCCATGGAATGATTCACCGATACCCCCTCTTCTCGCTGTGGGTCACCTCGCCGGAAAAGGTTCACTTGTCGAAGGTTGGTCGTGAGGTGAAACCTGCGCTTTGTTCGGACCTTCATGACCAGACTTGTCGAGGGGTATGGTTGTGACTACAAGCATTTTTATCGTCGATAAATGTTCCGTTTAGCTTCCACGAAGGCATTTTAGTACAAATGCTGATCGTCAACCAACGGAGGCTAAAACGGAAATTCCGATACGAACGGAAGCCATAGAATGATTCACCGACACCCCCTCTTCAATCTGGTGGTGCTCGCCTCGCCGGGAAGGTCACCGTTCGACCGGAAAAGCCGCGGTTTTGGGCCCTCACGATCAGCTTGTAAGTAGCACTTAGGTGATCATTTTTTTTAAAGTTATGGCACTCAAGTGAGCCAAAAAAAAGTTATGGCACTTAAGTGTCCTCCGTACAAAAGTTATGGCACTTGCGCTGTACTTATCCCTAAATTTCACTTATGATTGCTATATTATAGGAGATTTTGCAATTATACTCCTAAACTTATGTCGCAATCTTCCAATGAACTTTATTTTTAATTTGTGATCGACGCACTTTAACTAGAATTTAGGTAATCTTTAATAAAATGATGACATGTTGGCCATGTAACAATGACACGGCTACCAAAAAATTAGCTAGGGTTAATATAGGTAAGTATGTTCTATTATCAATAATATTATTCAAAAAGTTATAAACTTATTACACTTGTAACCTTTCAATTTAGCTAATTTAGTCATAAACCTTTTAGTGATTTGTCAATTCAGTCTTTTCGGCCAATTTTGGCTAGAAATCGCTGACATGGATGCAACAGTGCCATGTAGGACAATTGGTGCTAACATGCCCTCGTTGATCGCGAATGAGGGTTCTGGCCCTCGTCAAGACGGCCACTGGATGAGGGCCGCGAGTTGCCAGCAAGGGTCGTTGGCACTCGTTGGGCTTAGAAGAAGAAAAAGGAAAAGAAAGAAAGAAAAAAAGAAGAAAAGAATTAAATTTTTTAAAAAAAATTATAAAATTCGTCCGCGTCAGCGCTAGCCATTCTACGTGGCACTGTAGGCATCCACATTAGCGATTTCCGACCAAAATTAACCGGAATGACATAATTAACAAATCGTCAAAAGGTTTAGGATTAAATTGGCCAAATTAAAAAGGTTTATGATTTAATATGGACAAACGCGATTGGTTTATGACTTTTTTGATAATTTCCCCTACTATTATCTTATACCTCTTGCATTCATTTGAAAGTCTCCATTTACTAATGTTGACACCTATTTTAATTTGCCCAAAATTAATTGCACAAAATTTAGGAGTTAATTTTCTTTAATTCCTAAAACAACAAATATTTCTATTTAAATGTATTGCATATAGAAATTAGGCACATTTTGTATTAATAAGGTCTA